ACACACACACACACACACACACACACACACACACAGAGTGGCGCAATAGTTCAGTGGTTAGCACTCTTGCCTCACAGCTCCAGGGACATGGGCGACTGTCTGTGTGGAGTGTGCACATTCTCCCCGTGTCTGCATGGGTTTCCTCCAGGTGCTCCAGTTTCCTTCCAAGGTCCAAAGACGTACAGCTGAGGTGGGTTAGCCTTGGGAAATGCAGGGTTACAGGGCTGGGGTGGTGGAACTGGGTGGAATGCTCTTCGGAGGGTTGGTGTGGACTTGGTGGGCCGAATAGCCTGTTGCCACACTGTAGGGATTTTATGATTCTGTGAAAAACACACATGCAAACAGATCCATGTGCACACACAAATAGACACATACACAGTCACACAGAAATTGACCCACATGCAAAATCACACACACAGATGCATACAAACATATACACTCACTGACACATGTGATCACACACATAAATGGTTAGGCAGCATGCACACGCACACACACACATTGGCAGACAAACACACAGAGACACAGGTATATATTTATATACAGCCATACGCAGACTAAGAGCAGTTGAGTAGAGACTGAGTAGGCACGATGGTAGGAGTACAAAGAAATTGTTGGAAATCCCTCTGATTCCTGGCATCGGGAAAGTCAACACTAATGTAGCTTGAGGGGAGCTCTTTAATGAGCGACTTAAAGCTAATTATAGAACGACAATGAGGTTAGAGGACAGAATGAATCATGTCATGTCCCTCTCAGGGAGAAATTTACCTATTACCCTGCTGTTCCTTTTCCCATAACCCATAATCCTTTCCTTTGCAGATAATGACCCAATTCCCCTTTGAAAGTCTTAATAAACCTGCCTCTACTAACTTGTATCACCCTTTGACATTCAATGGTGTTACCATCACTGAATCCCCCACTATCAACAACCTGGGGGTTACCATTGATCAGAAACTCAACTGGACTCACCACATAAACACAGCGGCTACAAGAGCAGGCCAGAAGCTGGGAATACTGCGGCCAGTAACTCACCCCCTGACTCCCCAAAGCCTGTCCACCAACTACAAGGCATAAGCCAGGAGTGTGATGGAATACTCCCCACTTGCCTGGATGAGTGCAGCCCCAATAACACTCAAGAAGCTTGACACCATTCAGGACAAAGCAGCCGCTTGATTGGCACTACATCCACAAGCATCCACTCCCTCCACCACCGACGCTCAGTAGCAGCAGTGCGTACTATCTACAGGATGCACTGCAGAAATTCACCAAAGATCCTCAGACAGCACCTTCCAAACCCAAGACCACTTCCATCTGGGAAGAACAAGGGCAGCAGATAAATGGGAACACCACCAACTTCACATTCCCCTCCAAGCCACTCACCATCCTGACTTGGAAATATATTGCCGTTCCTTCACTGTCGCTGGGTCAAAATCCTGGAATTCCCTCCCTAAGGGCATTATGGGTCAACCTACAGCATATGGACTGCAGTGGTTCAAGAAGGCAGCTCACCCCCACCTTCTCAAGGGCAACTAGGGATGGGCAAGAAATGCTGGCCAGCCAGCGACGCCCACATCCCACACAGCATTGACCTGGATTTATAGATTACA